AAATGGGACTTAAAAAATTTACATACAGATTTACTATATGACCCACCAATTCCACTCCTCGGTATATATATATTCAAGAAAAACGCAAACATACCCACACAAAAATTTGTGCACATAGGTTCATAACAGTATTATTTGGAACAATGGAAAAGTGGAAATGATCCCAAATGTCCATGACCTGCTGAGTGATTAAATAAAACATAGAATGTCTATACAATGGAATATTATTTGACGACAAAAAGAAATGAAGGGCTGATTTATTCTACCACATGGGTGAACCTTGAAAACCCATATTGAATGAAGAATGCTGATCGCAAAAGACCACATATTTGTGTAATTCATTTATATGAAATGTTCAGAATAGGCAGATATATAGAGATGGAGAGTGAATGAGTGGTTGCCTAAGACAGGGATGAGTTGGGAGGAAATGAAGAGAGGCTGATAACGGGCTTGGGCTTTCTTTTTGTAGCAATGAAAATGGTCTCAAATTGATGATGATGCTGGTTGTACAACTCTGTGAATATATTGAAAACACTCTCTTTTAAATGGGTGAATTATATATTAATATAGATTTGTTACATAAATTTATCAGTTAAATACATCTTCACACAATGTTATCATTTTCCCTAGACTAAAATGAATGAAATCTTGTAAGCTACCCAACTACCATTGTTTTCCTTGACTCCTTAACAATAAACCTTTAACAATAAACCATGAAGCGTTTTTTCTTTCTCTCTTTTAATTCTTTTATGAAACCCGTCATTCAGTGTTGTTTATTCCTCTGGTAAATACTTTGTAGGAACTCAAGGTAAATTGACAGGTGAATAACATCAGTAGGAAATTCTGTCCTCTAAATTTCATGTTCTATAAAATCAATTTTTAAAATTTAAATTCTACAGCACAAAATCATTAAATAAAAGAGCATATAGATGACTCTTAACTTGGGAATATATTTCATATAAGAAATAAACATCACAGGGGTGCTTGGGTGTCTCAGTTGTTAAGCATCTGTCTGCCTTCGGCCCAGGTCATGATCCCAGGGTCCTAGGATCGAGTCCCACATCAGGCTCCCTGCTCTGTGGGGAAGCCCACTTATCCCTCTCCCACTCCTCCTGCTTGTGTTCCCGCTCTTGCTGTGTCTCTCTCTGTCAAATAAATAAATAAAATCTTTAAAAAAAAAAAAAAAAGAAAGATCACAGAAAATAACTAAACTTCAGTATCAGTCATTGTATTTAGCTCTAAGGACCTAAGAGAGATAAAGTCAGTAACTAATAATTCCAACAATAACCATCAAAAAAGTTCAATGAAAGTTATCAAGAGAGTTTTAAAATTTCATTTAAATAGGGAAAATAGAATACATAAATAATGAAATATTCTTATAACCAAAATATAAACAATTTAAAAAATTAATTTATTCCAACTTATTTAACAACAAACAATAGAGATCCATTTAAAAGAAAATGAAGACAAAATATTTTAAATGCTTATCTTCCAAATTAATTTAAAGAATTAATGTGATTCTAATCAAAATGTCAGTATGACATTTGGCATCTGGGTGGCTCAGTCAGTTAAGTGCCTGTGTTTAGCTTGGTCGTGACCCCAGGGTCCTGGGATCGAGCCCCACATCAGGCTCCCTGCTCAGCGGAGAGTCTGCTTCTCCCTCTGTCCTTCCCCCGACCTCATACTTTCTCTCTCTCACTCTGTTCTCTTTCTTGCTCTCTCTCTCAAATAAATAAATAAAATCTTAAAAAAAAAAGAAAAAAAAAAGAAAATCCAGTAAAGAAAGAAAATAAAATTCAAGAGAAATAAATAAACAAATCTGTATCTTTTTAACTTGGAAAAGTAAGGGGAAAAATGGAGCAGCACATTTCACACTTCGGTATATAAAACTTCTGTTATAAGGACCAGGAAAGGCTAGTGTAAGACAGGAGAGCAAGGTAAAGAAAGTGATAAATGAGAGAGCAGGTATGTTCCCTATCTAAAAGTATTCTAGTCAAATCTTTGAAAACAGTATGTGTTTGGCGGTTTAGTCCATTGAGCTTTAGTCTCTTGTATTTTGGCTCACGTAACAATCTCAGGGTCATGAGATAAGTAAGATAAGGGCCCTGCTTAAGGCTTCACGCTCAGTGAGGAGTCAGCTGGAAATTCTTTCTCTCCTTCTCTCTCTGCCCCTCCCCCCACCAACTCTCTTTCTCAAGAAGCTTTAAAAATATATAAAAATTTAAAAATAAAATAAAAACGTATGCATTTGCCACACTTTGTATCTTCCTAAGCTCTTTTTGAACTGATCGCATTTTGGGATGCATATTATACATCATAATGTCTAGAGGAATTATACATGGAAGTTATTTATGGTTTTAGCCACAGCTTGTTATTATTACTATTATCTTGCAGTAATTCTTAATGAGGGGGGTGGATATTTGATAGTCACTGGGGTTTTCTTCAAACTATAACTCTCTATGTTCTATAATGCTCTCCCTGATGAAGAACAATTATCTCCCTGAGATTCATTGCCTTAGTTAACCACAGATTAGAATAGGTTTTATTATATCTTATGTGTTTTTGTGGAGACAAATGTGTGAGTACCACTGATCTAAAGTGAAGCTGACTTTTTTTTTTAATGTATTTGATTAATGTAGTTAATCAACAGCAGCCTCCATGATTTCTAGTTTTTATTCTGTGGATCGGAAATCTCAGCAAACTGAAATCTCTCACTGCATTTCTGCCATTCTCTAAGGCTGAGAGTCTGTCAACTCCTGTTACAGGAGCTCTCCCGGCCACCCCTCATCCTGCAGTTTGCTGGAGTTCTCACTGGAGGGAGAATGGACATTTTGACAAACCAAGTTCAGGACTTGACTGTCAATATCCTCATCCCACTCTGCTGTCTCTTTGATCATCTCCAGTCCCCCTTAGGGACATACATACTGTGATCTCATGCTCCCTGAAGTATCCCTACTGAGCACTCTTGAAGTTACGTGATTATCCCAAGAACAGAGGCAAATGTGACATTTAAAGGTTCTTTTTACTTCAAGCCAAATGTAGGGGTGACAGTTCCACAAGCAGTTACTTGTCAGAGTTTAATCACTAAAATCCATACCCTTCCCCCCCTCCCAGGGTTAGTATATGGAGATCTTCTTTGAGAAAAATATTCTGATATACTTAAAAACACTTCACATTTGGAGTCAAAATGCCCCTGGCCTTTACTAGCTGCACGTGCTTGAGCAAGTTACAGTCTCCTCTGCTTGTTTCTTTGATTTAAAAATATGAGTATATTGGCATAGTACCTACCTTTCAATCCCCATAGTGACATGGTTGTCTAAATGGAGATCATGTATGCACAAATGCATGTTAATTATTATATGTGGTAAAAGTCATGATCCTTGATTAGACATGAACTCGATATTACTTTATTATGCCAAGATTATTCTGAACTAATATAAAGTCGAAGATTTTTATTTTCATTTATGTAATCGGTAGCATTTCAAACCAGTCCATTGGTAATAATACAGGACCTTGAAAACAAAAAAATGATTTTGCAATCAAGTTTGTAACATAGATAAACATTGGGCATTTTCATAATTAAGATAATCTAAAGTTTTTAATAAGCTGCATTACACTGGACTGCTATAAGTGCACACTCACTGTCTTACTTCTTTTATAATAGTGCTTTTGGTGTTCCATTGAAACATGGCCAGTGAATGCACAATATTCTTAGTTACCATTATGAGGGGCTCTGTATATTACAACGTCTCCACTGTGTCTGCTGTTAGCTAGAAAAATGCTGGGAGCAACAGCAGCTACTATCAACAGGGAGCCATATTAATTATTTGAAATGTGCCTCATAAGAGAAATCAGCAGAGTTTATTACAAGTCAAATATTACTTGAAACGGGAAGGTTACTCTAGCTGTTATCATAATCTATGTATCATTAACTTTCCTTGTTTAGGAAAAGAGATTAACAACCCTGTAAATTGCTATAGTAAATGTGTAAAATATAACTGCATATTCCCATTGTAGAAAGAAATTGGTGAGTCCTCTGCTTCTACCCAAACCTTTTTTTAAGAAATAGTTTTAAAAAGTAGCTTTAGAAATTGAACTGACTCTGTGACTATGCCTTCTTGTCTCAAAATTCTAATTGCTTACTGAATCATCAGTATACAAAGCACAGCTACTTTGAACATAAGAAATTTTTTTTGTTTGTTCCTAACCTAGCAGTTTTTCCAAGCAGCGTCTTGGCCTCCAAATCAACACCTTAATTCATAAAACAGAAATTCTGTTACAAATAGTGTGTGAGCTGGTAGCATGGTTTGCAAGGAATAGAAAATGAATTCATCTACCTACTTTTTATATCCTGGCTAGTTATTGTTCTTCCATAAAATACACTAAGCAGGTAGGAGTAGCTTTCTATTCAAATAATAGAAATAAATTCTAAAAACTAAAAAAAAAATTACCCAGAGTTATAAAGTTATCTAAGTAACTGCTACTTGTGTGTTATTTGACATTGATGACAGTCTGCAGACTGCAAATTACTGGTCATATGTGTATAAATTGAGTGTATAAGTGTATAAATTGAGATAAGTGTATAAATAAGTGTATAATGAAATCAGTGTATAAATTGAGAATAAGTGTTTAGAAACACTGTAAATTGAGAGATTACTTTTCGGTTTAATCTGACAGTAAAAAATGTGGACTTGTGTTGTTTATGTCTTTTTTGTTTCCATTTTATCTTTCTTGTAAATCATTTCCACTGTATTTTTAAAAGTGTCATTCCACAATAAATGTGTAATTTAATAATAAAAAATAGTTTAAGAAGGACTGATTTAATTGCTTGATGTTTGGATGATGCATAATGCTCCTGTGTTTGAATAGATTTGTCGACGTGATATAATGAAAATTAATTCAGTGTGAAGACAGATAATATTGCATCATTAAAAACAAACAAAAAAGTGTAAAGAGACATAACTGTAATGTCTGTTTAACATTTATTTTTGGGTCCACAGGGCAGGCGCATCATGGCCAGGTGTCCTACATCTCTCCGCCAATTCACCTTGACTCTGAGCTAGAAAGACCTCCTGTTAGAGGTGAGTTGATTATTATTACAATGATCATCATTATTATTTTAAAGGAAAAGAAATCCTATTCATTATTTTTGATGAAGACAATTCAATTACAGATAGTTATAAATATATATTTTATAAGGCAGTTCCTATTTAAAAAGTGGGGAGGGGGCATAGTGTACAAGGAATCTGATAACAGAAAGGGGAAATCTTATTTATAACCTAAAATATGAAATACTGTTCTGAGAAATATTTGTAAACAAAATAAGAAATAGGGATAGATAATGATTCAACTAGTGGAGGACTAATTGAAAGCCAACTTAGATTCAGAGATTAGCAGATAACCATTACTTTTTAATTATAATTTTCTTCTTCTCCTATCTTTTTAAAAATAAATTAATTTATCTTAACCTAAGGCATAGTGACAGATTTATTTCCTTTCAAAGTGATATTTTATATTTCATTTTTAAAGTCTTTTTAGCATTAATATGGTCATTTGGTTTTAAAAATATATAAATTAAAATTACTTTAAATTGATGCCATCTGTTTAAAGATTCTTTTAAAATAACTAGTCATACAAAACAAAAATTAAAAGTAACATTTATTTTTCTGTAATCTACAGAATTTGTCTTTCCACTTTTAAAGAAATACTATTTTCAAAATGTATTTTAATGTTCAAAGCTGATGTGACATAGACATGTTTTCTTTTTTATTTTTATAAATACCAAATATTCTAAGGTTATTTTTTTAAGAGTTAAGTGATGCAGGATATTTTCTAATACCTCCAGTAGTATTAATCACTTGATACAATAGAAGTCATTAGCCTGCCTTCTATAAGCATGTTTTCTATAGATGCTATTTCCTCCTCCGGTGGGTTACTACCAATGTTTGAAGGTTCAGCTTTATTTTCAGTTCCCTGTCTATGCACTGTGGAGGAGGAGAGAACATGTGTCTGTTCTCCAAATGGCCCCTGTGCTTGCCTCGGGTATTACCTGTGAGACACTATCTGCATATTTCCCTTTCTCCTCCAGCCACTGGTCTATGCTTGGCACATAGTAGGAACTCATACAGTGGTTTCTAAGCAACAAAAAGTAAAGGTGACAACCTACGCTCTGAAGGATGCAACCTCCTTTTTCAAGACAAAAAGGAAGCAGGGAGGACAGTGAAATCCACGAAATGGAAGCAGAATGAACCAAAACGGATCTGTGAACGTTGTGACATTTTTAAGGAAATGTGTTGGGTGCACAGGAAAGTGAGAGCAGTTCTAGAGGAAGAGACTGACAAGACCTTATGAGGCAGATTGGGAAGGATTCTCTATCACCTGGAAAGACGTTTGCATTTTACCCTGGGGGGGGAAAAAGGTCATGAAATATTTTAATTTTTTAAAAATTGTTTTTCTAGGGGCACGTGGGTGGCACAGTTGGTTAAGTGACCAGCTTTTGATTTTGGCTCAGGTTGTGATCTCAGGGTCCTCAGATGGAGCCCTAGGTGGGGCTCTGCATTCAGCATGAAGTCTGATTAATTTCTCTCTTCCTCTTGTGCTGCCCCTCCCCCACCTCTCTCTCTCTCTCAAATAAATAAATAAATCTTTAAAAAAAATGTTTTTCTAAGTTAGTGAGGTTTTTCATTATAACATTATGTTCTTGATGTAAGAAAAAAATATCTCTGATGTCAGTATAGATGAGGAGAGATTAACAGAAGGAGGCTGTTTCAATAATCTAGGTAAAAGATGACTGGGAAATTAGCAGAAAGTATGTCCACTAAAATGGCAAGGTCTGAGAATTTTTTTTTTAAGAGTTTATTTGTTTAATTAGTTAAGTTTGAAGTATGTCCACTACAATGGCAGGATCTGAGGAATATTTTTTTAATTAATTTATTTATTTAGAGATTGCGTATGAGCATGGGGGCAGGCAGAGGGAGAGGGAGAGAGACTCTCAAGCAGACTATGCACTGAGCTCATTGAGCTTGACCTGGGGCTCAATCCCTCAAGCCCAAGATCATGACCTGGGCCACAATCAAAGTTGGGTCCCAACCCTCTGAGCCACCCAGGCCTCTAGGTCTAAGAAATATTTAAAGAGACATGGCATTTGACTGAACCGATAATAGGGAGAAGGAACAGAAATGTCTCTAAGATTTCTGTATCTATCAGCTGCTTAGATGCTTATGACATAATCCCTCATCATGAGGAACAGATGAATTTTAAATTGGGGTTTTTTTTTTAAGACATTTAATCCTTGGTACAACATTGTTCTTATCCAAGATGGATGTCTGTTTATGCACATAGGTGACTTTAATATAATTCATTTTTTCTGACATCATCTTGGACTGATTTGAGAAGAGTCCTGTCAGGTCATGGGTAGTAGGGTAGTGTAACAATATACTTCGAAAGTTAGTGGCTTATAACAAAAATCATTTATTATAACTTTTAGAGTTGGTTGAGTTGTACGTGTGCTGACTTGGCTGAAGTTAGATGTTTAGTAGCTAGCAAGCTGGTTGATTTTGCAGGGGAGGAAACTCAGTCCACATGCTTAGTAGCCACCTTAATGTCATCTGGGATGATGGTCGTATGAGGCACATCCAGCAGTCTAGCATAGGCTCATTCCTATTGTGACAGGATTCCCAACAATAGGTAGACAAGTCCCAGAGCTCAAATATTTTTCAAGACTGCTTATATCCTGTTTGCTATGTCTCATTGATCAAAGCAAGTCACATAGCCAATCCCAGACTTAAAAAGGGAGAAAATGATTCTTAATGTTAGACTGAGGGACCACAATCCAAAGGACCATGGATACAGAAAAAAAGAGGAATTGGGTCATTTCAAACTATCATAGCAAGTCAGGAAAAGGGTAAAATGAAGTGAGACAAAAATAATAAAGGAATTTAGAGCCAATTAACTTAAACTTGGGTGTTCCAGACCTATTTATCATGAGTTTCCCCAACCAGTACACAGAAGATCAGAAATAAGAACTTCACAGTGTCTTTGTGATTATTAAGAGTAATACAGAGTAGAATCCCGCATCTGGCAGGCCCTATATACAGTGTGGCTATCCTCCCTACTTTTGGGCTCACCGTTGTGCCACAGGGAAGGAAATTGGACTTTGAAGCCAGGCGGACCTGTATGACCTTGGGCAGCTTCTCTCTGTCCTCTGTAAATCAAGGATAATAATGTCACCCCAATAACTTTATTAGGATAATTAAAACAATAAGTGCCAAGTTCCTGGCAAATATGTACCATAACAAGACCCCGAAGAGTTAGAAGGTAAGAGGCATTATTAAGAGCTCCACTGTAAAATAATATTATCTTGGTCAAAATAGTGATGGTATTGACCTGGTAAAGAATGAATTACTAGAATCCAGCAGTCATCTCTGCCTGATATCAGCTTCAGATAGTACTCTCTACTTTAGAGTGATTGTCTTGGTAACTTCTAGTTCTCACAGCGTTCCTCTGCATACATTGACCCGGAACTCTTCTTTAACTGCTCTGTGATTAATGCAATTACATTTATAGTTACTAGCTCATGTGCCACAATTCTGAAATATTCAGAGAACAGTTAAATAAAGGTAAAGAGGTTTATATAAATCACCATAATATTGAAAAAAAATTTTTGCTTTCTTTTTTCTTAGAACTATTTAATATTTCATTAAAATCAAATATTGGAAATGGGATAGAGTTGGCATAATAATAGCATTATTTTGCAACCACTGAGTATTTCCTTTCAACTTTCAACCGTCACCCTCGATCTTCATTTGCTATTTATAATTATACTGAATACTGCTGCTTATACTTACACGCAGTCAAATTGTATAAACAAACTCCACATATGTCTATATCTATAAACAGAGAGAGAATTTCTCATGTATGTTATATTTTTCTATGAATTTATAAAATAATACATCAAGTTCTTTAAATAAAATGGAATTCTAGCTCCAATTATTGCTTTTTTGTGAGATATAGAATGATATACTTTGAACTCCCTAAAAATTAACATTAGCTAACCATTTCAGCTTTCCTTTTTCTTTTTCTCTTGTAATTATATACATATTGAGAATATGAAACATTTGTCTAGATATTACTATGTCTCTATATATGTATTTTCTTACTTTCTCTTTCTGTACCAATTTCTACTAGTCTCCATGTGTGTTAATGTTTTAGGAATTATTGCTTTACACATTAATTCCTTATTCATTTTATAGACCTATACTTTAATAGGAAAATCATATTTAATTTTTTGACATTAATCCAAGTAGTAATACAAAACAACGACATTTAAAATGTTATCAATGGTTACCAATATTAGCACAGGGAACCTATCAATAGAAAATATTAACTAACATATAGTAACACATCAGATTGCTTCAGATATTTTGCCATTTTATTCTGTTCTAATCTGAAATATTTTGGATTAAAAGTTGGTACTTTTATATATATTTAAACATACACACACACACACACATATATATATACATATAGATACAGTGATTATCCTTTGAGTATTTGAGATACTGAACTAATTATTGGTAACTTTGGAATTGTGTTGTAAAACTCAATTCTGAAAAACAATTAAGCAAGCATATTTCCAAAAAATCATATTTTTGTCACATTTTCTCTTTTTTTTTTGCCCCCTCAAATTCTTTATCACATATTAATCATTTTGATTTTAATCCACATGTCGCTATTCTCCCTCCTTTCAACTGTCTTGACTTCTTTCATTTTCTATCCTTTTCTTAGGGAAAACATATGACACTGATGCATTCATTTGTCATAACATGTTTCCTCTTTAGTAGTGTGCATTTTAATTCTACACCAACATGCTCTTAGTAACCACATAGAAAATGTAGTAGCAGTTTACCAAATAGCCTTGAATAAAATTTGTAATCTGCATTTCAAAGTAGCAGCAGTTTATAAATTCTGTGGAACTTACCCACTGATGAGTAAATTTGAGTGATTCTATTCTTTAAATCTAATGTGATCATACATGGCATTTGGTTACATAATTCATGCCTGTGATAGCTTTATATGCATT